GGCCGCAAACAACATGAAAAACTGCCGGAGAAGCATGAAAAAATCCGATTATTTCAACTATCGATGGGAGTTGGGAAATGTAACCTTCGGTCTTGGCCTTACCGCTAACTTGGAGCATGTGCATGTAAATTTTGGTGCAAATCCGTCGAAAATTGCAGCCGTGCATTCGTTACACACACACGCGCGCGCACACACACACACATCCTGCATTTTATAGATAGAAATTCAAATATACCAATAAAAAAGTTACGCGCCTTTCATCCAAATATCTCTGTCTGTCTGTCTGTCTATCTATCTATCTATCTATCTATCTATCTATATATATATATAAAAGAAGAGGGGCCGCAAACGTTTTGGTTGTAATGTGGATTTATTGAGAAAAAATATTATACTTTGTTTTACATAATTTCACGACACGTGTTTCTGGTCTGGTCTCCAGCAAATCATCTTCAGGTGAAAGTGGAGATTTTTTACATATTATTAAAATAATTAATTTTTCTTCATGTTCAATGTGGAATATTCTCGATATAGAGACATTCTGTTTGTGTATTAACAATCCGAATTTTCTTTCTAGAATATATTCTATATATATATATATATATGAGTAGAATCGGATGAGTCACATGACGGAATTAGACGCTATATTGAGTCTGGTTTGTTACCTCTCCGTCAACGAGGCCCGTTGGTCCAGTGGGTATGACGCTTGCGTCATATCGTAACGGTTTGATTTTTGGTAGTGGAACGCACTGCAGATGAGTCCCAAATATAGGACGAAACGCCCGTCCAGTGCTTTCTGCATTCTGTTGAGAATTCTTCTAGACTCGATGAATTTATTATTATTGTATTTATTTATTTTTACACACACACACACACACACACACACACACACACACACACACACACACACACACACATATATATATATATATATATATATATATATCAGCAAAATTGTTACATTAAGTTTTGAACCGTTTTATCTTAGAAATGATTAAAGATATCTTACTGGAATTCTCCGAGGTTTTTGTAACACTATTGGACTCTACATTGAACAATCAGAATGTATTTATCTCCAATTTAAAAGGAGGATCTCTCCTGTTGTTGTGACCTCCTGTTCCAGTTTTCTTCTCTAATGAACCCTCTTTTTCAATGTACTCTTGAGGATTCTTGAATGGAGCCAGAGTATGAATGTTGCTACCATTACTGAAGGTCTGAATGATGTTTTTGCTCTCACCATTTCTCATATGGGAAGATATAGATGGTCTGACACAAAACAATTTTATCCTGTTGTCTTTCTATCTGAATAACTTAAAGATTTGTTCAGTGATTCTTACGACAAATGGTGTCAAGAGGGCTAAACGTCTTATCTGGTAATCTGGGAAAAGGAAACTCAAGTGTTTTTTTTCGGTATTAAATATTTTGTGGTTTGGACAATTATCCCATGATGTTACACGATTTGGACAATTTTGCTGTTACACTCATATATATATATATATATATATATATATATATATATATCATCATCATTATATATATATATATATATATATATATATATATTTTGTTTAAAAATATGATTCCTTCACTACATAAGAGTTCTCATGTTTCAAAAAGGAGAGCCGAAATCCTCCAAATAATTATCAAAATTTTTGAATTGAGGTGTTTAGTCCCGTTTCATCTTCAAGCGAAATTATTGAAACATGAGAAATACAAATAAACAAAAAAATAGCATTATAATAAAGCTCTACTTCTGTATGAGCACTGTCTTCTTAAAATAAAAACAAAATACTAAGGAACCCTGATTATGCACCCAACGTGTTCTTTTCTATTTTCTGCATACCTGCGCATTTATATATTATATATATATATATATATATATATATATATATATATATATATTACTAATAATCTTATAAACATAAGCAGCTATACTCGTCCGGTAAAACCTTAGGTGTTTTAACTTGTAAATGAACAAACCAATACCAAAGGGGAAAAAAGTAGAAAAAAAAAAGAACTAAGAACATGTACTTACGGCGAAAATAATCGAAAATAATCGCCTAGAATGAAAGTTTTTCCAAAGAAAAAAAAAACTCCGATACGAGTAAAGTAAAAATAGCTAAGCAAAGTGCTCATTACGGTAAGTAGAGCAACCTAAATAAGCCTAAATAACCAGACAGACCTGCCTCGGGTTTCAGCTACGTGGATCGTCAGGGTATAGCCACTTTACCCTTACGATCCACGTCAATCATCACTGTAAAGACCTACTTGATATGTGTCTAATATACAGATACTTATTAATTACATTGAACTCTCTTTTGATTAATGTCCTCTTTGGAATTATCACTACTAATTATCAATTGATATATATATATATATATATATATATATATATATATATATATATATATTATTTATTTAAACATATGATTCCAAATCAACATAAGTCCCATGTTTTCAAAACAAGAGCAAAAACATCAATATAATTATTTAAATTATTTAAATTAAATTGAGTTAAAATAAACTCTGTTCCATCTTCAAGCGAATGAAATTTTTTTGGAATTTCGTTTTGAAAATATGGGACTTCTTATGTCTTCTCTGAATTATTTCTAAATAAATAATTATATTTATGCTCTACTTTTGTATCGAACACTATTTTTTTTAAAAATAACTAAAATACTAAGGACTTTCGATTATTTACCTAAAATCCAGTTCCTTCCTATTTCTATATATTTTCACACACACACATACACACACACACACACACACACACACACACACACACACACACACACACACATATATATATATATATATATATATATATATGTATATATATATATATATATATATATGTCTGTGTGTGTAAAAAATTTTCATATAGATTATGTCTGTAAAATGAGGAGTGCTCATGAATATTCATCAGAGTTGATCGAAAATTAAAGTACTTTGTTTATTTTGTAAGTTTTTTCTTTCGTCTTTATTCCCCTCCCATCATATATATATATATATATATATATATATATATATATATGATGGGGAGGGGAATAAATTAATTGATTTAAAATATGTTTTTTTTAATGCTCTGTAAATTTATATTGTGCACTATTTTGTAAAAATAAAATATATATATATATATATATATATATATATATATATATATATATATATATATATATATATATATATATGTCGACTCCAGGCGGTCGGGGTTCTCGGGATTAACCGGAGTGATTCAACATTCAAGTATATCTGTTTCAAAGCAAAATAATATTTCGTAGTGCGTCGTTTTCAGCTGGATCAAAAATTAATTGATCAGAGCCCTATCTTAGCTGGAGATATTTAATAGTCAATGTATTTCTTGCTTTAATTTTATAAATAATCTTTTAAAAATTTCTAATAACTTGTATTCCTCGATTTTCAAAGAACACATTTCTATTTCAACTTATTCTTTTCAAATATCCATTTTAAATAATTTATTCCGTACAGTATAAGGCCTTTTAGCACAATGTATCAATTGAAAAAGAGCAAATTAAATTCAGCCCGACGAAAATCAAAGAAAGCCTTAACATGTCAACTGAATGGTTGGGGTGAGAAATGTGACTGTAGTAGTATTGAGGGAATATGATATCAGTCAGCAGTACTGATTATAAACATATAATTCATAGAAAAAAAAGAAAGAAAGATAGAAGGAAAGAAAGGAAAAAAGAAAGAAGGGAATAAAGAAGGAAAGAAAGAAGGAAAGAAAAATTGAAGGAAAGAAAGAAAAAAAGGAAATAATAAAGGAAAGAAAGAAGAAAAACCTTTACAAACATGATTGTTGAAGAAATCGAAAGAGAGACTGAAGACAAGATGCGTATTGGGTATAGAAAGAGACTTCTTCATTATCAATTTTCACTTTTGAAAGATAAAATAAAACATTTGCGAGAGAAAAAGTGTACGTGTATGTGGCTGCGTGTGTGTGAGAGAGAAAGTATGTAATTAAAGAATCAAGAAAGAAAGACAAAAGAATATCAAGGAGCAAAAGAGAGAGAGAGAGAGGGAGAGAGAGAGATATGTCAATATTAAAAAAAAAACATATGAAAGCTAAAAAGCAAGCAAGAGAGGAAGAAAGAAAAATTTTATATTTCTGTTGGGAGGTCGAGCAATTCAAAGTGGTTTGTTTGTCGGAAACGTAACTCATTAAGCCAAGTCCAGGACATCAGCGCTTGCCTTAATTGGTTAAGAAAGCAGAGAGGATGAGCTGGATCGCTCTTGGCTTGAGCGGTTAGGCACTTTGAGCCGAGATTCAAACAGAACATATATTTGATTATGGCTCAAAGTGATTTTGAACTAATGGGCTTTTTTTTCGACAATGTTAATTAGTTTGTATCGGTTGAGCGCTGACAGCGTTAAGGAGACGGGCTGGCAGCGGACTTTGGCGGCACGGGATGAGGTGGCGGTGATGAGTAATTCAGGAAGGAGTAGTTGAGGAGAAACTTCTTTTTGTCATCGCCTCTGTCCCTGACCCGTTGGCAAATAAGGAATACGTAAATATGAAGCTACACAAAACTATCAAGGAAGATAAATTGCGATATCCGTGCAGTAAAAAAGAAATATATACACACACATATATATATATATGTGTGTGTGTGTGTGTGTGTGAGAGAGACAGAGAGAGAGAGAGAGCGAGCGCGCGTGTGTCTGCGTGATAATGTGAAAGAAAAGGATACAGTTACCTATCAGCTTACGAAATCTGAAAATATAAACGTTAATATGAAGAGACCAAGATAGATAGATAGATAGATAGATAGATTGGTACAGACTGAGATAGATAAGAACAGTCTGAGATAGATAGATAGATAGATAGATAGATAGATAGATAGGAAGAGATTGAGATAGATAAGAACAGACAGACAGACAGATAGATAGATAGATAGATAGATAGATAGATATGGAGAGGTCGAGAGAGAAAGATATGAACAAAATATTATTGATGAGAGAATATGATAGAACAGACCGCGCTAGATATATGAACAGACTGAGACAGATAGATAGATAGATAGATAGATAGATAGATAGATATGGAGAGGTTGAGATAGGAAAGATATGAACAGAATGTTATTGTTGAGAGAATGAGATAGGAACAGAACGTGCTAAATAGATAGATAGATAGTCAGACAAACAGGCAGACAGATAGATAGATAGATAGATAGATAGATAGATAGATTAGAACGATATAAAAGAAATAAATAAAGGTAATTTTAAAAGGTTTTTAAAAGTTAATAATACCTTAATTTCCAGGCGCTGTCAAGTTCTGTGACCCCTAACGAATTAATTTAAAAAAAAAAACCCAAAAACATGGCGTCTCCTCTAGATGACACATGGATATTTAAATTATAAATATAATGTTCATAAAAGTGCCAGGAAGAAATTAATCAAACATTTTTCTACTTTAAATGATAAGATCAACTTTCGTGATAATGACTAATGTTTGAAAGTACTCGACCAAAAAGCATCATGAACACAATGAAACACTTTACCGTGAAATTGATCCGGATGTGTGTTTAATTATACGCCGACTGGAAAATCTAAAACGAAATCCCCCCCCACCCAAATAAACAAAAAGAAAACCTAAACTCATTTTTGTTCGTATTTTTTGTACTTTTTCATATCATTTCTCCCGAAGCAAGGCAAAAAAGCCACTAAGACGCAAGGAATTATCGTGCCTGAAAGAAGATGAGAAAAAGAAAAAGACATTATTAATCAGGGAGAACAATAAAACAATAAGAAGACAGAAGATAACGATTGGCCTTGCATTTAAATTTCCCCCCAAGCAAGGCACTAAAGCCACTAAGACGCAAAGGGTTACTGAGTGCTAGAGAATATGAGAAAAAAACTACTATTAAGGAGAGAAGACAATAAAAGAACAAGAATTAAGACAAAAAATAACAATTGGCATTGCATTTAAATTCCTCCTAAGCAAGGCACTAAAGCCACTAAGACACAAAGGTAGGGGTACTGAGCGTTAGAGAATATGAGAAAAACTACTATTAAGAGACAGGACAATAAAAGAAGAAGAATTAAGAAGACAGAAGATAACGATTGGTATTGCAATTAAATTAAAGTTGTCTGGAACTCAAGAAGGCTGAAGTGAGTTTCACAAGCGACAAGTACGAGAGAGGAAACTGTTAGCATAGAACTTACGGTATCAACTTTAAAATGATGAGCCCTAGTCGCCTATCTAGTACTGTGATATATATAAAGTCTATTTACCAAAGGGAAAAGCTCATCAGAACAATTACCATGGAAATATTTATCGAAAAGCCACAGTGAAACTACGTTATGGTTTTGGTAAAGTGACTGATGCCGAGATGTCAGGACAGGATCAATAACATTGCAGATTCTTTTTTTTGTATTTTATCAAGAATCTCTAAATATATAGAAGAAGCACCAGACTTACAAATGTGTAATTTTTTCTTATATTCTCTAAAACTTATTAACCGCTTGCATCTTAGTGGCTTTATTGCCTTTCTTGATTTAAAAAAAATCTATGTCATAGTAAATTTCCTGATCAAAATTTTGAGCTGGAAGAATTAATGTTAACAATAACAATAAAATGAATGCAATTTACTTAGGTTTTGTTTGGTTTGGATAGTTTAGCGGCATATCAACACCTTATGGGTCATTTAGTGTCGAAATTTTATTTTCATGGGAGCCTTCGTAATTTATTGGTTTTTGCTTTTCCAAAAATGTATTGCTGGTATGTTTTGTTTTTTTACTATGAAGGTATATTTCTTGTAAATTTTCTAATGTATTTTATATTTTCATGTTTTGAAACGAGTATGGTTGTTTGCTCGGAGCTGAGGAAGTGTCAAGATGGCGAAACGTTTTATCTGAAAACCTGGAAAAAAGAAACTCAGTTTCTTGTAAGAATCACTGGAAAAAAAAACCTTTGGCTTATTCACCTAGAAAGAGAAAAGACTAAAATCATTTTGTGTCAGATTCACTGTATTTTCCAAAATGAGCAATGGTGAGAAGAAAAAGATCATACAGGCCTTTAGTAATGGTACCAACATTCATACTCTGACTTACATCTTCAAAGTCCACTCAAAAACCATCAAGAGAATGGTGAATAAGTTTAAAAAAAAGAAGGGACAGAAGGGAGGGAAATCCGATTTTGTCACGAATGGATCAGGAGCTAAATATATTTCCAGTAATATATATTTAATCGTTTCTAAGATACAACAGGTGAGAGCTTAATCTCGCTTTAATTCATCCTAACGATGTTGTGAGCTTGATATATTGTTTGGAATTGTTTTTCGCCATATCTATATAATCTTATTGAAAGCATTTAATAGTACTTGGTGGGGCTGAATTTCTAAGGTCGACGCTTGACACAAGCTATATATATATATATAGTCACCATCATCATGACGACGTCAGTTACCCACACACACACCCATGTAGATATATATATATACATTTTTATATATTTTTTTTTTCCTCCCTCCCTCCCTACCTACCTACCGAAAGGCATTTTATATATATATATATATATATATTTATATATACCATGTGTAAAAAAACACAAAATGGAAAAATTGAATATATATATATGGATGTATAATAAATCCGGTATATTTATATAATAGACAATGGGACTTATACTAAGTTAAAACTTAATGTGATAAAATATAAATATTTTTGTGTCGTCCTTTTTTTATCTGTACAGGGATATCCCTTCTACCGCCCGGTCAACATACAAAGTACAGTTGTTTCTTGTCTAGGATTTTGGTACTGTCACTCTCCGGCCTGTGGTCTGTTTCTCCCCGTGATGTATTCTGAGGGTACACGGCTGACAGTTTTTTGTTTCCGATATTTTGTTTTAAAATGATGCGGATTTTATAACTCCTCTGCTGCGCGTCACGGTCGAAACTGTCTGTTTTCTCTTTAGGCCTTCTCATCTTTTAAAATAAATCCAACATGAGTTACAAAACCGAAAGATTTAAAAACCAGCATCTCAGAAACCACCTAAACCCCCTCACATTTCATTCTCCAACATCCGGGGCATTAGAACAAACTTCATACTCTGGAATCTTTCCTCACTGCAAACGGCCCGGATGTACTGGTTTCTGCGAGACAAACCTTGTTTCTATCCCCTTCTGATGATCCCGGCTATCTTTATTCTCTAACCCACATGCACGGTCTTGTGTCTACGTCACATTTGGCCAGAGAGTCCTCTCTGAATCGCCTGACCAGTCATACATGTGAATGCGGTAAGCTATCTCTTCTTCCTTTACCGATCCTCTCAAGACTGTGAGATACTTGATAGCATTTCAGATGGAACATTTTGTGTTGGAGATTTAACGCCATCACACAAAGAATATAACTGACCATGCAGGCATTCAAACGCTTAATTTTTCAATCTCCCATTCCCCTCACACAGATAGTTAACTTCCCCACTGTTTTGCCCTCAACCGGGTAAGTAAAGCCTCTCTACTCGACCTGTAGCTTTACCTTCATCCCCGAATCCTGCAGCGCCTCGCAACTATGCCCACTTGGTAACTCTGACCATGCAGTAGTATCGGTTAACATCTCCTTAACCTCCCTATAAAGAACCCTCCACTAGAACTTCGTTCTATTATCAACGAGCTGACTGGGACGCGTTCCGTGATTTCCTCCGCGATGTCCCCTGGGATGGAGTCTTTTAGCAAGAATGTGCTTCTGAGGTCTCTTCCTGGGTTAAAGCTGGAATCGACGCTTTCATCCCATCAAGGAAATACAGGGCTAAGACGCGCCCTGCCCCTGGTTTTCGGCTGCTTGCTCAGCCGCCATCGCCCATAGGAACCACTACTTCCACCTATACCGTCATGTCTGACTGCAATAGACGTCTTTGCCTCCGCCCGTAACGATTGTAAACGTGTCCTCAATGATGCTAAGTCACTATTTGCGGCTCGAATGAAGGAACGTATTACATCTCGCAAATTTGGCTCCAAAGATTATTGGCGTCTCTGCAAGAGTGTATTGAATAATTGCAAACCTCTATATCCTCTATTCAACCAGTTCGAAGTTTGACCTCCTCTGCTGACAAGGCTGAATGCTTTGCTCGGAAATTTCATCCAACTGACGCTCGACTCTTCTGGTGTACCCATACCCGACTTTCCTCTCTTAGAACTGAGGCCATATTGAGTGGGTTAAACATAACCCCAACCTTGGTACTGGGCGTTATCTCCAATTTAGATCCTCAACAAGGCGAGTGGTGGAGATGGGATACCAGCCATTGTCTTAAAGAAATGCGCGCCTGAACTGGCGCCCGCCCTTTCGAAACTATACAACTACTGCCTCAATTTTCCTGACTGCTAAGTCCCCTTCGATTGTTCCTTGTCTTCAAGAACTCATCCAACTACCGTCCTATCAGTCTCCCCTTCCCCCGGCAAAATCTTCGAAGCTCTAATCAATACCGGGGTGGTTAACCACCACATCCAATAATCTGCTCTCAGACAAGCAATATGGTTTCGCTTTGCCAGATCTACAGCCGATGTGCTCACAGCCATCACGGAAACAGTCTACCGAACTCTCCAAAATAACGGGGAAGCCCGAGCCGGCAAGATATCTCCAAAGCATTTGATAGGGTTTGGCACGCCGGCCTTCTCCCGGCAAGATCCAGGGTTATGGCATTACGGGTCAATTATATAACGTAATACAATCATTCCTGTCAAACCGTGAATTGAAGGTCGTTCACAACGGATTCTCCTCCAGTTCCTACCCCACGAACGCAGGAGTTCCTCAAGGCTCCATCCTAGGCCCCAAATGGTTCCTTATCTATATAAAATGACCTTCCTGACGCCGTAACTTCTCAAGTCGGCATCTACGCGGATGACACCACAATTTATTCCTGCCTCAAAAACAAATCCAGTCTCGCTGACAAAACTCACCTTTGCCGTGCGCCTCGAAAAGGACCTCCAATCGATTGTGAATGGGGCAAAAGATTTGGCTGGTCAACTTCAACGCTTCGAAGACTAAACTGCTCTCATTAATCACCACAGAATTATAATGTCTGACGCTCAACTTCCGAGAGAACAACTCTGCGGCTTCTCGGTCTCACGTTGACTGCTGACCTGAGATGGAATAAAAAACATCGAGTCAATTATACTGCGAGGAAAGTTGGCCCTGAGCCAGAGTTTTTCTCCCCTGAGTCGATCCTCCAGATATACAAATCCACAATTCGCCCTTTGGAGTATTGCTGCCATATATGGTCTGGCGCCCCTTCTGTTTGCCTCCGGGGTTCTTGATAGGCTCCAGAGGCGGATATGTAATATGGATTTGGCCTAAATTTCGTCTACAGTCAACAGACGCAAGGTCGCCTCTGTCTGTTCAATTCTAAAATAGTTCTTTGGAAATTGTCCGAGGAACTGCATTCGCTGGTTCCCCAAATGTGAGTTCAAGGCCCTACGAGGCTGGCATCCCGCTCTCACCCCTTCACTGTCGAAACTCATAAATGTAGCCGTCTCTACTTCACTCTAATAGCTTCATGTCTCGCACCTCTCTCGCCTGTGGAACTCTCTTCCCTTCTCCTGTTTCCCTGAGAGTTATAATCCAGCTATTCAAGTGTAATGTCAATCGACATCGTTGCCTTAATCTATCTACTACCCCTCATCCTTTCTTCTATCACTCCTATCTGATCTTCCTATTTTCTGTAACCCCTTGCGCTTAAAAAAAAAAAAAAAAAAAAAAAATAAGTGGACTCTGTGTGTGTTAAAAACACAAATAAGTTTAAAGCGTCTGTAAAAGGGTTTGTCTAGCCACCCTAGTAGACGGGTATCCTCGAATGTGAGTGGCAAGCTATACATACACTGATAAATAAATACATACATATATTCTCCTCCCCAGCTATGGCTAAATAGCAGGAGAGAGAGGGGGAGAGAGAGAGAAATACAGAGAGACAGAGAGAAAGGGCGTGAGGGTGAGAAAGAGAAGAGATGGATAGATATAATGATCCGTCCGTATCTATCTATTCATTTAACAACGTGTGATGATTGTCACTTTCATGCCTTAAGAAATCTTCAATGATCCTACCGTGTTTTTTTTTATCGGTATAAACTATCTATCTATCTATCTATCTATCTATCTATCCCAAATCATTTAACAACATTGCCTTAGGTACATCATGTCAGCGTCCGTACTTCATCTCGCCGCTTTGACAGAGCCTTCACAGGATTCACCTGATTTGAAATCAGTCTATGCTAATTAGAGTGTCACGTGATATGTTCACATTACATCGCCATGAGTACATGCCTTTTGCAGTCACGTGGCTAAAAGTAAATGAGATAAGAAAAAAAAATGGTGCTGTTATTAAGAGTGTGGCTGAGATGAGAGGAAAACATGGGAAGGCGGGAAAAATGGCGGACAAAGAGGCAATTTTACGAAAAGATTGGAATCTACGATGATGATTACATAAGTATTTAGGAAAGATGTAAACAAAAAATGTATTGGTCGTGGGAGGGAAAATCGAGAGGCAGAGAAGTATGGGAAAACGATAAAGACAAAAGATCATGTCGTGGAAGATGATAATTTGATAAGAAGAGAAAAAAAACAATGGCGGGTTTGAAATAGAAACGAGGCACACAGACGAGGTTTGTGAAAAAGTGACACGGAAAATAAAAGAAGGTAAGAAAAGGAAAAATTTTTAATGAAAAAAAAATATAAAAATGTCAACATAAAAATATCTGGTAGGAATTTGGAAGAAGAAGAAGCAGAAGAAGAAGAAGAAGAAGAAGAAGAAGTCGAAGAAAAGAATAATAATAATAATAATAATAATAATAATAATAATAAGAAGAAGAAGAAGAAGAAGACGATAACTGTATTCAAATTACAGAGGCCTATACTTAAGACAGAAAGAAATTAGAAGAAATAAATTCGGAGAAAGAAAGAAAATAATTAAAATTTAGGAGTCTTTTGCATATGTATACAAGAGTGAAAGAAGAAAGGAAAAAGAAAGAAAGAAAGGAAGAAAGAAAGAAAGAAAGGAAAAAGAAAGAAAGAAAGGTAAAAGAAAGAAAGAAAGGTAAAAGTAAAAAGATATGAACAAAATTTGTTCAGAAATGAACAAAAAGAAATATCGAAATAAATACACAAAGAAAGATAGAAAAAAAAAGTAAAAAAAGAAAAGTAAAAAGTAATTTAGAAATAAACAATAGAAAATAGAAAAATGCACAAATAAAGGAAAAAAAGAAAGAACGAACGAAAGCAAGATAAAAGAAAGAAAGAAAGAAAGAAAGAAAGAAAGAAAGAAAGACAGAAACAAAAGAAAAGAAAGAAAGAAAGGAAAAAGAAATAAATAAAGTAAGAAAAACAAATAAAACGAAATGTAAAAAGAAAGAAAAAAGTAATATACACATATGCATAAAGAATAAAAGAAAGAAGGGAAAAAGAAAGAAAGGAAGAAAGGGAGGGAAAGAAAGAAAGAAAGAAAGGAAGAAAAAGAAAGAATATAAATAAAAAAAGAAATGATAAATAAAAGGAAGACTAAAAAGGAAGCATGAGATCAAGAAAGATAGAAATAAAGAAAATGTAAAAGGAAAAGAATGAAACAAAAAGAAATAGAAGAAATTGCAAAAGAAAGAAAGACAGAAAGAAAGAAAAAAAGAAGGAAAATTAAAAGAAAAGGTAAAAGAAGCAAAAATGAAATTCACAAAAAAGCATGAAGATAAAAAAGCATGAAAACAAGAAAATTAAAAATTAATTCAAAAAGAAACAACAAATAGAAGAAAAATACACAAATAAAAGAAAAAAGAAAGATGGAAATAAAGAATGGAAAAAGAAAGGAAGAATGAAAGAAATAATAAAACGGAAAAAATAAAGATATTTAGAAATGAACGAAAGGAAATATAGAAATAAATACACAAAGCAAAATCGAATGAAAGAAAGAAGAGGAAAACGTAATTCAGAAAGAAACACTAAAAAATAGAAAAAAAGCACAAATAAAGGAAAAAGAAAGAAAGAAAGGAAAAGAAAAAAGAAACAAAGGAAAAGAGAACGAAAGAAAAAGAAAGGAACAAAGAAAGAGAGAAAGCAAAAAGAAAGAACGAAAGAAAGAAAGGAAAAGAAAAGGAAAGAAAGAAAGGGAAAAAGAAAGAAAGAAATGGAAAAAGTAGAAAAATATTCAGAAATGAACAAAAGAAAATATTGAAATAAATACACAAAGAAAAACCGAAAGAAAGAAAAGTAAAAAAGAAACAACAATGAAATACGCCTTAGCATAAAGAATAAAAACAAAAAAGAAAGAAAGAAAGATAAATACAAAGAAATCTAGAGAGAAATAAAGAAATATAGAAAGAAAGATATGAAAGAAATACACAATGAAAGAAAGAAGCAAACAAATCTGATTGAGAAACAATGTCTTTTTTTCTGATAGAAAATACAAAACTAACGATAAAAACAAAAGAAAATGGCAAATCTGAGTAAATAGGAAGAGAACGAAAATATGAAAAAATGTGTTATGAAGAAAGACAAACAATAATTTGTGTGTTGGGAAAGACAAATGAGGTGTCTGCAGGTGTGTGCATGTGTGTGTATGTGTGTGCATGTGTGTGTATGTGTGTGCATGTGTGTGACGACTGGAATGTTTTTGCATCAAGAAATGTGCGAGAAAACAAAATTGGTTCTGAAATTAGAAGCATCAACGACATCGCACCGTAAAACAATCGTTATCATTACACACACACACACTATATATATATATATATATATATATATATATATATATATATATATATATATATGTCCTTGGGTGGGTGTGTACTGATGGTTGATTAAGGCAAGACAAAGTAAGTTCTAGCAATGATTTAAACATTTCTGCGACTGAAAATTTGAAGGTACCGAGGTGAAAGGTGTTTCGTGTTGATGGTTAATAGATGCCAGAGCTAGAATTTTCGGTTGTTGTCATTAAGACGTTCCCAGATTGTGAAATGACATCTGACAGTATCTGATGATTAGAATATACAAGGAATAAATATATGTAGCAGTTGGCATGGAGACCCACACGTCTACAACTTATTAGTTATACAGTAAGATCGTCCAGAAACATACAGACTGAAAACAATTAATTCCACAAAAACGAAGAGAAAACACGCAAAATGCGTGTGAGAAGGGGAGGGTGGGAGAGAGACAGACAGATATAAATTAATCAAAATAGCAAGCAAGGCAATAAAGCCACTAAGACGCAATGGTTTACTGGCTGTGGAAAATTTTGAAAACAGAAACATTACAATTGAAGGACGATTGACCTTGCATTTGTATTCAGCCCTTCAAAAAGTGTGGTTGGTCCTGCAACAAAGTCTTCACCACTATAATCAAATCACATGCGTTGGTGTCTGTCTGTCAGTCCCTAGGAACTGAGCTGCTTGACCCTCATACGTCGAATATGACGGGAGAGTCGAATATATATATATATATATATATATATATATATATATATATATATATATATATATGTGTGTGTGTGTGTGTGTGTGTGTGTGTGTGTGTGTGTGTGTGTGTGTGCGCGTGTGTGTGAGAGAGAGAGAGAGAATGTATGACATAGTCAAATTTTCTTATGCGTTTCGTCTTTTAGCACTTCATCGGACTAAATTTATCATGGTTTTGGTTTGGTTTGGTTTACGGCATATAAACACCTCAATGGGTTATTTAATGCTAACATGATTATATAATGGTAATATTTTTTCAAAACAGTTATTGCTGGTAATTCCTTTTTCCTTTAAATGTATTGCTGGTAATATTTTCCTCAACATGTATTGCTGGCAATAAGGCATTGCTGGTAATAATGCATTGGCGGTAATAATTTTTCCTTCCTGCTGGTATTAACACCTATTTTTACACTTTCATAGTATTTTAACCTCAGTTTGGTGTTAACTATTTAGCGATAGTTTGGACCCTTACAGGTGCTACCACCCCTGGTCAGAGTTGACCTGGGAACACCAGCAATTAAGAGGTGGTTTTATGCTCCTCAAAACCTCCTGATCAGAGGTTTTGCTGTCGGAAAATTTATGTTGGTGTGACACAGGAGCGTTCCTTTTATATCTGATTTTAATGTAACTAAAAAACATTTCACTTTTAAACTTGCCTTCATAAAGTCGGGTTGACTAAAGGCGTCGGCAATGACTAAGAAATATATTTTCTGTTCTTTTTTTTATCCGAAATGTCTTATCTTCAGAATTCATTTGAGAAATTTAACATATTCTATTATATATTCGACATTATTTAGGTTACGTACTAGATCATGTAAAAAGTATCATACGGATATATTAATAGAGCAACATTAATATATCGGAATTATGGTGATTGTTTGAGTAAAAGTTTTGGAAAGAACAAGATTCTTCAAGACACTTCAGTCACATTCCCCTCGCCGTTAATTGGATTCCCTAAAAATATTTTCTTGGCAATTGTTCCAATGAGCTCTTCACCTTGGCACCTGGACCGCAAAAATTTAAAGGTATTACTAGAGTATCAAATAGGTCTCACCGTTTACTAATTTCTGTTTTCCTAATTTCTGTTCTAATAGTTTCTTTTCTCACACTTCTCACCCGTGGAACTCCTCTTTCCTATTTCCCTGTCGCCTATAACTATGAAAAAATATAAATAGATCGCCAGTCGCTATTTTTGGTTTTCCATAAGAATGTTCTTTGATTGTCCTTTTTCCTCACTAAAGACTTCTTATTTAAGACTGTAAAAAGCAGAAACTATAATCTGGAATTGGAAAGTTGTGATGGCAGGAACTCTATATGTATGGATCAGTTCCAAGAAATTTATTATGGGAGCTAAAGATACGAAACAGAATAGGCAGCGCTAGGTGTAGTTTCGCATAACCCCATAAGTTGCTACAAGACCAAAACGGTAACAAAAAAAACCCCTCTTCTTTGAATCTGGAAGACTGCGCTACAAAACCATAAAGAATTCTACTAGAAGACAGAAACCACACCATTTGAGGACTTTCACCAGCAGCAACAACTAAACTGGATAGTACACATAAGTCGAAGAGAAAATAATGGCGCATGAAAGATATTAATGCTCCACACTATTTAAATAAATGGCTTGGAAAGAAACACCCAATCAAATTAAAATCCACACAAAAGAAATGAATTTGTTTTTATCTTGTGTTAATATCGATGTAAAACAAGGTTCTCTTGCCTTGGGTGAAAACCCGTGTAAAGGTAGAAAATCCAAAACTTTGAAGAAGCAACTCCACTATCTTTTCCAAGAAACCGTAATAATTCACAGATAATTAAGTAAAAGAATCTGTAGAAAGTTCTATTCAAAGATGGCCTGAAAGTACACATTTTACTGTTTAGAATCGGATTTCCGCTTCCTTCTAAAATGTTTTTCATTCTCTTTTCACTTTCAGTAAATCGTTTCGTCTTAGTAACATTATCGCCTTTCCTGGGTTGAAAATTTTGAAAAATATATATATTTTTTTTTTAGATTAATCTACAGAATTGCCTAGACACAAGATTTTCAAATTCGTTAGTTGAATCGTTTGCGTGCGTTTCTTGTGTGAATCAAGATGGATTTGCGAATCTGCACTGAAGACTTTTTCGAAAGGTGAAGCCGTCCATTGACAGGGTGCTAACAGAAAGAAGATTGATTGCGATGTGGGGTTGGGGGTAATGGCAAATGGAAATTAGGATTTATTCTAATGAAAGGAGAGTAAAATCGCAGTGAACTCAATTAAGCTGCTGACGGACGTCTAGATGTCCTCTGACCTGATAATGAGTTGCCGAAAATGCGACACGATTTCATCTTTTGCACATTCGCCACAAATATTATGGAATTAGAACACTTCGAATCTAACAAATGTAAAATCTTATATGATGAACACTATCTTGATGAGTCGCATAAGACAGATTTATTAGAACTTTGTCAGTTTGGCTGTAAATTTTCTTAGGACTACACTTAAGATACGAGTAAAACGAGCAACATACATACATACTTACATACATAAATATATGAAAACATTATATAAATTAATACATACAACAAACTATTTCTTGTTAACATTTAATATATTTCAAATTTGAAAATGGCTAAATGCGTAGCCGAAAGCGCTCGGATAAAAAGAGCATTCGAACAGTTTTTATATAATTCATCTTCTGAAAAGAAAAAATATAAGAATACATAAGAAATTATATAAAGAACTTAATCAAATCAATTCGTCTCTCATATTTAATGAAACTCGCATATATATATATATATATATATATATATATATATATATATATATATATATATATATATATATATATATGTGTTCTTTTAACAGTTATCTTCCTCAAATATCCGCATAAACTACGTCTATTATTCTGTAAGCTACTACCTCTGAACCACTGCTCTGTGGAACCGACTCCCAAGAGGATGCTTACCTAATCACGTCAATATTAACCTGTTCACGTCTAGGGTTAACCGCTATCTTCCTCACATATCCACATAAACTGCACCTCTTACTCTGTAAGCCTCTACCCTGGAACCACTGC